TCTTGCTGCCTTGAAAACTCCGATCTAATAAATAAGAGGAGTTTCTGAACGAGACTATCAGAAGTAAACTGTGTAAACATTAAACTACAGGAAGAATCGTTGTGAATGGATAGTTACAACGGAGTAGCTTTGAATTAAAAATCCTCGAAGAGTAACGTGAAGTTAGTATTATAATAATTACTAGCTTGCAGATTTTTATTTGTTGATTCTCCAATTCAAATGCATCAATCTTTACTGCAAATCCTTCCATTAGACCTAGCCAGGAACAGGATGCTTGAAAAATCTGTTTCTGAATGAATCTTTTTAAAGAAATCTTTGAGAAGTAAGCATAGAGTTTCAGTTACGCATTACGTCTAGTTAGAACGTTTGTTAACACGTTGAGCGCCACGCGAATTCTTAAGGAAATCCCCGTCAGGCCACGCGCGTTTTTAGTTTTATATCATATTTTACACTGTCAGCCACCGGTGGTTGACGCGGCCTAAACGGAAAGTTCACTATCAGCCACCGATGGTGTCAGCACTGACAGCACTATTTACAGGTCAAAATCTTCGTCTCTCATATCTCGTGTTCATACCAGTTCTTGAAATATCTTTTTCACAATCGTGGAGGTTATGCGTCATAATTTTAAACCTTATCTTCGCACATCAGAGAAAACTCAATCCTTTTAAATTTATTGATGCTTTGTTAATTTACGTGCAAAGTTTTGTGCTATATATAAATCCAAAACAAATTGAACAATAGCGGGGTTAAATTTTGTAAATGTCTTTTTATGGTTCATTCATCGGTTCCAGTAATTTCTGGGTTCTCTTTCAATATCTAACATAGTAACTAAGTTGTTCTAACTAAACAATCTGACTCTAACGAAGTGGTTTTCATTCAGCGGCCTCTTTCGATCTCACAAATATTTTTCGTTTTTATGAATCCCGGAAGCAGGAAAAGAAAAAGTAAATTGTTTTACAACCGTGACACAGGCAGAGTAACGCGCTGGATTACGAACCATTTGAGCCGCAAGTACCGAACGAACGTCGACCGTAAAACGCATCGCGTCGAAACAAAATAAAATGGTCGCGAAACGGATCTATTCGCTCTTTCATTTTGTGTGCGACGAGCCGGACATTTTTTTCGCGACGTTTCACTGATTTTTTCCCGCAGTAATCCGTCCTTTTGAATCCCGACTCTGATCTAGTGCTGCCTCGCCGCGCGCAATTTGTCAAATTGCGAATCGCGATCCGCATGCTACCGCGGTCGCTTCGCCTCGCTTGGCCGAATTTGCGTGTTGCACTTTAGCTGCTCGTGTTCTTGTGCGGAGACTGTGACACGACCTTGCTGGAAGAACTTCCGGCTTCGGATAAATTAACACGGCAAACTTCAAGGTGGCATAATACCTCGATGGAATGTTCACGGAATGGATAACATGGTTTGATTATTGCACAAGTGTGCTGATAATATAACCAAACTTGATTTTGTGTTTCGAATAAGCCGATTGGAATTCGTCGTAGAATTGCATTTGAGAGAAATTATATATAATAATTATATATAAGGTAACCAAAAAGTCTCGAAATAGTCGATTATTTTCGAAAACATTTTTCATTTTAGTTCTCAATTGAATTGAATCTATTGAAGTTACTTTTTTATTTTTATCTATTAAAAGTTAAATACAGTGCTTATAGGGAGTATATTCCAATGCGAATCTTCGAAAACATCGATATTTTTTTTACACTTTTTACATTTTATACCCTTTTGACACTAAAGAATATAAGTTCAAAAATAGATCTGTGAACGTATCAAGATGAAACTATTACGATTTTTTATCTGTTATTTTTATTGCAAGTTCAATATTGAAAATTATCNTGAAGTTAGTATTATAATAATTACTAGCTTGCAGATTTTTATTTGTTGATTCTCCAATTCAAATGCATCAATCTTTACTGCAAATCCTTCCATTAGACCTAGCCAGGAACAGGATGCTTGAAAAATCTGTTTCTGAATGAATCTTTTTAAAGAAATCTTTGAGAAGTAAGCATAGAGTTTCAGTTACGCATTACGTCTAGTTAGAACGTTTGTTAACACGTTGAGCGCCACGCGAATTCTTAAGGAAATCCCCGTCAGGCCACGCGCGTTTTTAGTTTTATATCATATTTTACACTGTCAGCCACCGGTGGTTGACGCGGCCTAAACGGAAAGTTCACTATCAGCCACCGATGGTGTCAGCACTGACAGCACTATTTACAGGTCAAAATCTTCGTCTCTCATATCTCGTGTTCATACCAGTTCTTGAAATATCTTTTTCACAATCGTGGAGGTTATGCGTCATAATTTTAAACCTTATCTTCGCACATCAGAGAAAACTCAATCCTTTTAAATTTATTGATGCTTTGTTAATTTACGTGCAAAGTTTTGTGCTATATATAAATCCAAAACAAATTGAACAATAGCGGGGTTAAATTTTGTAAATGTCTTTTTATGGTTCATTCATCGGTTCCAGTAATTTCTGGGTTCTCTTTCAATATCTAACATAGTAACTAAGTTGTTCTAACTAAACAATCTGACTCTAACGAAGTGGTTTTCATTCAGCGGCCTCTTTCGATCTCACAAATATTTTTCGTTTTTATGAATCCCGGAAGCAGGAAAAGAAAAAGTAAATTGTTTTACAACCGTGACACAGGCAGAGTAACGCGCTGGATTACGAACCATTTGAGCCGCAAGTACCGAACGAACGTCGACCGTAAAACGCATCGCGTCGAAACAAAATAAAATGGTCGCGAAACGGATCTATTCGCTCTTTCATTTTGTGTGCGACGAGCCGGACATTTTTTTCGCGACGTTTCACTGATTTTTTCCCGCAGTAATCCGTCCTTTTGAATCCCGACTCTGATCTAGTGCTGCCTCGCCGCGCGCAATTTGTCAAATTGCGAATCGCGATCCGCATGCTACCGCGGTCGCTTCGCCTCGCTTGGCCGAATTTGCGTGTTGCACTTTAGCTGCTCGTGTTCTTGTGCGGAGACTGTGACACGACCTTGCTGGAAGAACTTCCGGCTTCGGATAAATTAACACGGCAAACTTCAAGGTGGCATAATACCTCGATGGAATGTTCACGGAATGGATAACATGGTTTGATTATTGCACAAGTGTGCTGATAATATAACCAAACTTGATTTTGTGTTTCGAATAAGCCGATTGGAATTCGTCGTAGAATTGCATTTGAGAGAAATTATATATAATAATTATATATAAGGTAACCAAAAAGTCTCGAAATAGTCGATTATTTTCGAAAACATTTTTCATTTTAGTTCTCAATTGAATTGAATCTATTGAAGTTACTTTTTTATTTTTATCTATTAAAAGTTAAATACAGTGCTTATAGGGAGTATATTCCAATGCGAATCTTCGAAAACATCGATATTTTTTTTACACTTTTTACATTTTATACCCTTTTGACACTAAAGAATATAAGTTCAAAAATAGATCTGTGAACGTATCAAGATGAAACTATTACGATTTTTTATCTGTTATTTTTATTGCAAGTTCAATATTGAAAATTATCCGTTTGTTAACAGTACAAAATAATACTTAAATTGAGTGTAAATATATCAGTACATACCTATAACATTTATATTTTTTACAAATTGTATAAATGATATTCGAAAAGAAAAATGGTATTAGATATTTGCTATTAATTTCTTTTAACAGTTTCATAAAAACAAATGTTATACTTACTGGATTTTGTATTTCACACTAAGCACTTGAACAGGAATTGTTATGAATAGGCGCTTGCTTCTATTGAACACGCTGAAATTTCTGTGACAGAAATAGATCTCATATTTAGTGCATGTTTAGTACATGTTTATTCAACAATTCAAAAGACCAATATTCCATCTATTAAACATGATTTGGTATTGTAACCACACATTGAACACAACACTGGAAAATCTCTGTTCCAGATTAGAGGTTACTGATTAACGATTACAGATTGTCAAATGAAATTATAATTTCAATACTGTTTGAGAAACAATTAACTTTTTGTTCTACGATTTCCTTCAACAAATATGCTAACCAACAGAGCTATGTTGGTTAACATATTGTCACCGAAACATTCCTATACGAGAAAGAAAATTTATATTGTTCGCATGCTAACCTTTACTTCAAGATTTAAATATTGAAATTAGAAGTGTAGAATTTGACTCCAAGTTGAAGAAACTACATGAATAATTTGTTGAATTATGGACATCGATGTACAGTAGATTACGTTAGACATTACGTTACTTTATAAATGTAAACGCAAAGTAACCAATTACTGCTCAACTGTTTGCTTACACGTAGGTCTTTTAATAGACCTTTCAATTAATGAGTTGCATGGAGAAGAAGCTCGATAATTTTCTTGTAAGTAATATAATTTCAAGTTGTTGTATCAAATAATTTGTTGAATTATGAAAGAAATTGCTGTCACTTTTGAACAATTTTTCGAATGACTTTTCAACCGTTGAATCTGCCTTTAGAAAGACTAATAGAAAACGGCCGGTACGTAAAGTGCTCAAATTCGCACTACCACGAAATATCGATTGTTCTCTGATCGATGCTCCTGTGAATCATTTGATAGAAAAACATGTTGCTTCGTCGTTCGTTCGGTGAAAAATTCAAATAATTCAGACCACGAGAATTTGGTGATTTAGTCCGTAATTACGGCAGCGAACTGCAGTTATTAGTGTTTATGAAAAGGGCATGCGCGGAGTTTTGCGTCCGAGAATCAGGGATTATCAGCAAATTCGCAGCAGCACGCATTGCTGTTCATCAGGAAAATTCTGTTCCCTTGCAACAACCGTTATTACGGTAACAGGCGGCTGTCCATTCGAGGCCGAATCGCTTCCCAAGTGATAATGGCTCCTGTTCATGACGATGGATCCGGAACTTGTGACGCCAGCTGCTATCCCGTTCATCGATGACCGCACCCTAACACGTTTAATATTCTTACTTTCATGTGGGGTTGAAGGCTGCATCGTCGACTTCTTCATTGTCACCGATTGGGTATATAAAGCATAGTGTCATTAGGGTTAAGCATCAGTTACAGCCCGTCTGAAGACTATAACCCGAACAACCATGAAGTGCTTGGTAAGGATACTATAGACGTATTGTCCCTTTCTTAATCACCTTCTTATGTCCTTTCTCGATCTATTCGCATTTTCATTTTTGTTAAGACTATTATAATCGGGAAATATCTTTTTATTCAGTTATGTCTTCATCTTGTCTAATGCTGGTGTTATATTTTGGTGAAGTAGAGTAGATTCTTGATTATTCGAACTAATAAACAGAACATGAGTGTTTGGATAATAGAACGGTCATTTAACGATGTAAAAATATTGGATTTTAATGGATATATTATTTTCTGAGAAAGAATAACATAGAACTTCGAATTAATGCACTTGCAAAATAATTACATGGAATTAATATTTAAACGGCAAAATTCATGTAGCAGTATCGAATATGTCTGCCATCTTCACGGTTTAGTGATTAGAACCTTTTCAAGTGTAATCATTTCTTGAAAGAAGTAGTAATCTATATTTATGATACGTCTAAATTCACGTTAACGCTTAAAAAGAAGGAATAACATTATGATTTAAGAAATTGTATTTTACATTATACAGGCATATAGTCTCAGGGATTATTTATTATGTTATCTAATGCAGCACACACACACACATGTGTGTGTGTGTGTGAAACTCCGCGAACACAGAACTTCGACGTGAGAAAAACTATAACAGCCACAATGTTATCCATGAAAAACATACAAACTTAGAACAACTTGCTTAATAATACAAAAGCAGAGAAAACGAAATTTATAATAACAGCTGTGCTTTTCCAATCCTCTTACACCTCGTAGATCCTAACACAGTTTTCGTCTTAAACAATATATAGTAATAAAAAACTAAGCTAACCTCAATGTTTCAATTTTTAAAACGTTAGTGTCAAAGAATTTGATTGATACTTAGCTTTTTATATTCGAAATATACCTTGATAATGGTCTTAACACCATGAAATAATAACAATCTTTTTGGTCGTAACAATAGTAGACAATTTATTATTATACACGAATATTGGACAATATATTATCATACATCGACTATTAGATGAAAAACAACACTCTTGTATATTCTATGTTTATTTGACTGTATATTTTATAGGAAATTTAAAAATGCAATGTATACTATTCTATCACCATTCTCCCATATTTTGTAAAGTTAACTAATTTGGCAGATGAGTGGCTCAAACATTTTTATGTACTTGAAACCAATTGTACTTTCAGCTCGTTCTTGTCGCCACTTTGGCCATCGTTGCTGCCAGCCCAGACCGTGAGCGTCGTTCGATTGGTTGGGGTTGGGGCCATAACGGTGTAGTCCTCGGTGGAGTATGGCCTAACGTGGCGGTCGCAGGACCTGTAGTACCTGCGGCAGCAGTTGTCGGCCCTGTTGCTGGGTCCGCGGCTGTCGTTGGGCCTGTCGCAGGCTCGGCTGCTGTCGTTGGACCAGCTGCCGGTTCTGCTGCCGTTGTTGGGCCTGCTGCTGGTGCTGCTGCTGTCGTAGGACCGGCTGCCGGTAACAACTTCATCTAATAACTTTGATCTGCTAGTTTTCTGCATGATCTAACGTTAGAAGCCAAGCTACTCCTGCAACATATAACCCTGATGATTTTCGATTAGCTTCCATCAGAACATTCAATTTTTAAATTCTTAAATCATCCACGAATATCGAAAACCTGATCTAAAAATTGCGTATCATTTCTCTGTTATTAAATTGTTTGCTGAGTAACGTAAATTTTATATTTAATGAATAATGAAGAAATGGGTAACGTAAAATAGAGCGTAGAATTTTTTATTTGAACACGATTCAATGTTTAATAAATGTGACTGTCACGGGCTAGCCACTTAAGGGATTAATGCTAACTTATACTTTATTAGTACTACGAAAAAATTTTTGTTCATTTCATTATAAGTGAAAATTTTTGTTTAACAGGACCCACAGTCGTCGCTGGTCCATCTGGGAGTGTGGTAACTTCTGGGGCTGGTGTAAAGATTTGGTAGAATCCTCTGATACTGAGTCCTACCTCGAGACTTACGACAACGGAAAAGATCTCCCGTCAACATGCAAGCGACTTCTCATTCGACTGTCATCCTCGGCGCTTCAATCGAAGACTAATCGGGAGAGATTGATCGGGATCTTTCAATCAGAAACGGACATTCAATGTTCTCCATCGACCCGAGAGGACGCGTTCCGGATTTGCCGAGGTCCTTCAGTATCATAACCTCCTTATACCTAGCCCTACCCCCATTACGCTTTTATACGATAATAAATGAAGCTCCACTGTACTTGTTTCTGTTTACATCTAATCCGGCCGCCACTAATCCCGAAAAGTATAGTCCCCGCCTAGCGACGTTTTGAAACCATTTAAGTGGCCATAAAAGTTATCGTGTCCTCGTTGTTCTCACTGGACCAGTTGTTCCAGTTTTTAATTACTTCGAATTGTTAAAGGAGTCGCGGTGACACTCGCGCCACGGCCCATAGACACGGGAAATGAAAGGCCGTGTAAAATAATGGATTAGCGGGGGCTCAGTAGCCGCAAAGTGGACCACCGTGACCAACGAACTGCAATTTGTTCAACCAGTTTCGATAAATCGATGTCCGGTCCAGTCGAGGCGTTCGACAGGTTGCGACCATGAATGGAATTCTGAAGTACGGGACTCGTTTGATCAAGAAACAAAAGCTGTTTGTCATGGAGCACACATATTACGGTTTGAAACGGTGAAAATGACAATTGGCAAAACTATTACAATTGAGTAGAGGCACTGTCTTATATTATTTAATTTAAACATATAGGAGCATGACTTTTTATAAACATATTTTCTGTATTAACTCTTATAATATTTTTTGAAATAGTTATCTCGTTCTGCATTATCGAAAAATGATCACTAATTTTATATATCATACATTAATTCAACATGTGTTGTGTCATTCATCTCACGAAAATATTCGGATCCCTTTTAAAGCGGAATAACGTTTTTCAAATTGGACTTGAATTTTTTTGGGACTTTAAAAGTACACATATTAAAAGTATGTAGAGGATGTCCCAGGTTTTTTCGGCCAAACGGTATCAGCATACTGTACGAGTGAAAATAAGAAGAAAATGTCATATAAACATAAGCTAAAAAATACTTTATTAAAGAATTTTAAGAGAAATACGAAACAATAGCGGATTACATATGTTAGCTCCATTTTGAAGTGTCGCCTGTTTTTGAAAATACAGCATTGGCATCTACGAATAATTAAACGGTTTAGTAAACATAGCTTGGATAAGTAAATGCAGATAAGAGAAACGCCACTAACATATTTTTACATCGAACCAAAATCAGTCCATTGTTATTCCGTATTTTTCTAATCACTTTTTAACACGTTCCGTGCCACGTGTACCATCGATGGTACACGCTTGCATGTTTACTTAGTGAACTGAACAAATTGTTTACAAGAAATTTAGAACCGAAGAATCAATTTCCACCGCAAGAATGGGCGTTGATAAGTTTTTGTTACGTTGTTATGTGTACGAGAATTAATAATTGCACGTAATACATCAAGTTTTAGTAAAATATCAAAGTGTGAAGATTCGAGTAAAAAAAGCTCGGCACGGAACGTGTTAATAAACGATTATACACAGGGTTTCTGAAAAATTATGTTACGTTTCTCAAAGTGAGCAAGATTCTAGTTACATCGTCTCGGGACATCTCGGGGTCCTTTCGAGGCCACTCGATAGCTCGCGCAGAAAGGGTAACTACCCTTGGAGCCATCAGATTATTACCATTAGTTTATTCTATACAGATACATAATAAAGAAAATTTGCAGAAAGTTATACGATTTTATTAACACGTTCCGTGCCACGTGTACCATCGATGGTACACGCTTGCATGTTTACTTAGTGAACTGAACAAATTGTTTACAAGAAATTTAGAACCGAAGAATCAATTTCCACCGCAAGAATGGGCGTTGATAAGTTTTTGTTACGTTGTTATGTGTACGAGAATTAATAATTGCACGTAATACATCAAGTTTTAGTAAAATATCAAAGTGTGAAGATTCGAGTAAAAAAAGCTCGGCACGGAACGTGTTAATAAACGATTATACACAGGGTTTCTGAAAAATTATGTTACGTTTCTCAAAGTGAGCAAGATTCTAGTTACATCGTCTCGGGACATCTCGGGAGCCTTTCGAGGCCACTCGATAGCTCGCGCAGAAAGGGTAACTACCCTTGGAGCCATCAGATTATTACCATTAGTTTATTCTATACAGATACATAATAAAGAAAATTTGCAGAAAGTTATACGATTTTATTAACACGTTCCGTGCCACGTGTACCATCGATGGTACACGCTTGCATGTTTACTTAGTGAACTGAACAAATTGTTTACAAGAAATTTAGAACCGAAGAATCAATTTCCACCGCAAGAATGGGCGTTGATAAGTTTTTGTTACGTTGTTATGTGTACGAGAATTAATAATTGCACGTAATACATCAAGTTTTAGTAAAATATCAAAGTGTGAAGATTCGAGTAAAAAAAGCTCGGCACAGAACGTGTTAATAAACGATTATACACAGGGTTTCTGAAAAATTATGTTACGTTTCTCAAAGTGAGCAAGATTCTAGTTACATCGTCTCGGGACATCTCGGGAGCCTTTCGAGGCCACTCGATAGCTCGCGCAGAAAGGGTAACTACCCTTGGAGCCATCAGATTATTACCATTAGTTTATTCTATACAGATACATAATAAAGAAAATTTGCAGAAAGTTATACGATTTTATTAACACGTTCCGTGCCACGTGTACCATCGATGGTACACGCTTGCATGTTTACTTAGTGAACTGAACAAATTGTTTACAAGAAATTTAGAACCGAAGAATCAATTTCCACCGCAAGAATGGGCGTTGATAAGTTTTTGTTACGTTGTTATGTGTACGAGAATTAATAATTGCACGTAATACATCAAGTTTTAGTAAAATATCAAAGTGTGAAGATTCGAGTAAAAAAAGCTCGGCACGGAACGTGTTAATAAAGCATTTTTGAGTCTATGTTTATATGACATTTTCTTCTAATTTTCAATGATAGAATATACTAATATCGTTTGGCCGAAAAAAAACCTTGGGACACCCTGTATATTAACTAGTATACAAAACAATGTCTAATTAAATTTTTGTAACAATTGCGATTGATTACAATTATAATATCTGTTATCGTCGAGTGGTTGTAGCAAACAAGTTACTGAGATTTACGAAACACACTGTTTAAATTTTCGTTACAGAATGTAAATCATAGAATGTAAAGAATATTAAGGGATTGAATATGACGCGTATTTCATAAATTACAAATGTTACACAATTAATGCAGAGTTCTATATTTCTCACACTTTCATCGTTTCAACATCTTGATTTTTAATTGTGGTCAAATATTACATGTCAAGTTTATTTTTACTAACTATTTTCTCACTGTATAACATCCATACAGTTGACAGACACGTGTATGTAATAATAGATTCCATACTGCTAAAACAAGATAGGATGTGTGTGGCTAGAAATTGCACGAAATTCATTAATTAAACACTTCGGGTATTGATCAAACTATTGTTGTAGCAGCGAATGCCAACCAGAACTTGTTCGACCAAATGTATTGTTTAGATTACACACTGTTTCATCAAACATTTTAGCCATTTATTTTAGCCATTTTAGCCAACATTATACCAATTAATGTTTCTAGCAAAGTGCATTACTTCAATATCTCTGCAAAACACGCTGCTGTACAAAACGTGCATACGACAAATGAAGTAATTATAAAAAGTGCGTGTCACCGGAAATGCTAAACATACAATGCCGCCTTTATTAAGGAATTCATGGGAAACATGTAAACCTAACTGTTTATCAGTCGGTGTCCGTTGATTCGAGTTGTTTTATAATAATGGAGCGGGTAGGCTAGGAACAAAACAACCATAGATTGTAAGTTTTAAAATAAGTTTAATATCTGATGGTAAAATTTACATTATGAAAGGTAGGGAGGAGGGGAGTAATTTCCACGATGCCAATCGCAACGGGTCGAACGTATTTCCAGCCGGGGGAAGATTGTGGGGATCGTCAGCTGCCGAATTCAAATTTTGAGCAATGAGAGTTCTCTGACCGTGGAACTTCATTGTAATACTTCAGGTCCAGTTACGCCAGGATGTTAGATGGTTTTACCAAGCTTTAGCTCCCCAAGGAGCAGCGGCGAGTGCGGGGGCAGCTACAACAGCGGCTGTTCAAAAGCAGTAATATATTAAAAAAACATGTATATATCTTGAAAATTTAAGTTTCTCAATGAAGCTCTTTTAAGAAATACTGGCACAGTAATTCAATTCAAGTACTTGGTTAATTTCTTTAAAAATTAAGCCGATTTAAAAATTAATTCGCGATTATATGCGTGTGCGAAAATTAATTTCCCCAGTGATTTCCCCGTACTTGATATTTCAAATTTTGCGATCATCGAGATGCAAACCGTTTACTTTCTATTCCATTTTAATAAACTTCTTCGATTTTATGAAAACTTTCTGATGAATCAACACACAGTGAACGTGTTAAAAATAGAATTTGTAAAAGCTTCCAGCGTATAGAGAAATGATCTTAAATGGAGAGATAATTACGCGCGGCGAGGATCTTGGCAGCGGGAGCGGCAGCCACCCATGGTGAAGAAATAAGGGCGGGAGCAGCAAGAGCGGGCCCGGCAAGGATTCCACGACGTTCGCGTTCCTGTTCAGGGAAGGCGGCAACGATGGCGAAGATAGCGAAAAGGATCACCTGCGATAGAAAAAATTGTGATTACCTCCGTAATCGGAGCTTTTTCGCCGCGGTAATAATCGTCGGTGAAGTTAGCGCTACCCGAAATGCGTTGTCGAAGCGATCTTACCAGAGACTTCATTTTGTTGGGTTGGTTTGGGTTGCTTGAGATTCTTCGAACTCGAAAGTGTAAGCGACTGATGAAAATCTCAGCATCGACTTTGTCTTTTATACTCTTATTTTCCTACCTATACAGAGGAGTGCGGCATACGTCACCAACCCCGCACGAATGTGTATCAGTCGTTCTCTATAGTGGCCTAGGATACCAGCGGGGCGGGCGTGGTCGGGGACTTGAATCCGTAAATCAAGACAGCGATCTGAAACGATGAACTCGCACAGCGGCGATGTTGCATCAGAAACCTCGATGGCGGTGCACGCAACCCGGCGCGAATGTTGCAGAAGTTTCAGCGCGGCAGGAACGGGGTCGCTGGTATTTGCATATTTCCCCGACGCGGTGATAGATTTTTCTGCAGGACTCGGCCATAGTCCTCTCACGTTGTTGCGAACCTGTTGTGTTCAGCACTAGCGCATAAGAAAAGCTTGACTCTAATTCTTCCCTTTTTAGGTAAGGTCGCGTGTCCTTAACGCTTTGATTGACATGCCGCAACCTTAAAAATTTCATAAAAGTAATGTATTTTATATAATGAAAATAAAATTGAATGATTAAGTTGTACGAAAAACGTAAAACTTACACGTACGTTTTGAGGAACCTGATAAAATTGGGAAGATGTAATGGATTAGCGTAAAAATCAATATTCAAATATGAGTATATGACTCTGTCACCTATGTATGGATGACGCGACAGTGTGAAATAGCTAAACGAATCGAGAAAATTACATATGAAATTATAAATAGTTATTGTAATTGCTATTGCTAAGGGTCCTTCTTTGAAAATGATTATTATTATGTGTAAATAGTGATGGATATATTATGGGGTATAGGCGTAGCGAATGCAGCCAACTTGCTTATCTGAAACGGGGTGCGACGAATCTTTGGATCTCATCACGATGTTAATTTTCAGGACTTCGGTCTGGAACTAGGCTATATTTTGTAAGCACAGCTTCACGGGAAAATAATTGCGTTTCTTTCTGAATTTTTGGAGCTTTGTCCGCCTAGATGAAGTTTATGAAATGAGAATTCAATTTTCGGTAAACTTTCGAAAAGTTTGACTTGATTCGACAAATATTTCCACAGTAACAGTGAATGACTAACAGCGTTTTAACGAAAATTTCAAGTTATGAAAAGGAGTTCGAGACCGAATCGATGACTGAAACTTCACTTAACTTCACGTGTTCTACATATTACTCTTTACGATTACACTTGAATTTATGTAACTGCTTAAAAGCGTTACAGATACTCACGATTTTTCACACAATGATAAAGGACATTGTAATGTTACAAAAATACAGTAATATCTGAACTGTTAAAATATATTAATCTTTTATTTACTATGCTGCACCCCAATAAACACTGTAGGCTATGGACAATCGTTTGCAAATAAAAGTCAATACATAATAGCACTTATGTAATTTAAAGGCAGGTACTAAATATTGGTTCTCGTGCAAAGTATAACTATGAAAGTAATCCACTCCCTTTAAAAACTATTATCTCTCCAAAAATGTAATTTATGTTAAAAAAATATGTCACATAAGTGTCTCATTGAAAATTCACAAGTGGTTTCAATTTTAGAACTGATATCGGGTAATACGTAAATAGAAGTATTTCAAAACTAAATCTTTTGTTTCTATGATTTGTACACATTTCGCTGTCAGATAAGCAAATCGTATATCTTTCATGGAGCATTAAAATATTAATTGTTGATCATTCATCTGTACAATAATTTTTAGGAGCCGAAAGCAAGATGCAATCTGCGGCCCGTGTTGCAACATCTAAATACTTTCGTTTCTGCGTGAGACGGCCTTGAATATGCGTCGATAGCTAAAATGTGTCGATCACGATACAGAAAAGCAGGAAATGTTGCCTTGAAAGTGCAGTTAAATGTTACCACATTAGAAAGCAATTGCCCGTGTCCACAAGCCTCCAATATACATTTTTATTCACAGATTATTAATTTTTCTTTTTGAACGCTTGCGAAACAAGCGCAAGTTCAAAAAGTGTGCTTTGTTCAGCCTGGCTTACAATCCTCATTCAGATGGTATCGGATCTCAGAGAAACCGATGCAACTTCGCGAAGGTCTCCCGAGTAGTTAGACTTACCATTAGTCGTTGTGCAAGTCTCCTCCATGGTTTTGCACATTCATATAACGGAAGATCCATGCGACATAGTTTCATTGTCGATAAAAGTTACTCCGTTAGCTACTCGTGAAATGCCGGCGCAAAGCGATGAACTCCAGATCCTGGGACCACACTTTACCAAGTTTTCAACCAAGGTACTGAATTTTTTTCTAAAAGCTGCTAATAATAAGCCAAATTAGATTTGACAATAATCTGACTGCCCGGGTTACTGCTTCAAAACGTTCTCGACACTTCGTTGACCGGTTCAGAATCCAGAACCCCCTTTCAAATTAATCAGTGTAAATCATCTAGTACTTAATCCCTCGCTGTGTCATTTTCTTGATACTTAGAATGATTAGAACTACTTCGATCCATTTAATTATATTTACATGAATGTTTAACCTTTTGCAGAATACTTTTTCTGGCCCACAATATTTTCCATTTTGTATGACTTAACGCGTTTCGTGTATATGAAATTGAGTTTTGTGACTTATATTTGAACAGTTTTTAAAAAAGTATAAGCAAATTTCATAATGTGACGGTTGAATTCAAAGGATTAAATTATATTGATGACAAGAGAACAGAATTTTATATTCTGACTTAAAAGAACTGAATGACACATTCATACTTAACAGGTTACTACTAGAAATCTTCATCACGAGTCAGACTACCGAAACTATGGACAAGCGGTTAAACGACTGCCGTTTTGTCAAAAATTGCAGCATCCTTAGGAAAAGGTGCACACTTCTGGAAGAGACGGCGTTACCAAACCAAAAAGACCATTTCTAAAATTGTTTCCAAGCGGTAAAACTGTTTACATCGGTGTCTGAATATGTGGGAGAATTACAAGTGGCAACACAATTCTTGAACGAATCATGGAAATGAACATGGCTCAAAATTCAAACCATCGAAGTCGGTGGAAACCGTTTTGCATCGAAACGTTCAAGAACAACGAAGTATCTAGAACGTTTCGATTCGTAGCTGCAGGCTGAACAGTCATGTTTTTGTTCCGGTTTCCATCGGTAGGAATTTCTAAGCGCCTTGCTGGAAAAAAAAAATATATATATAGCAGATGACCTTTCTCCCGGCTCATCACAGGAGGTTACACGTAATCGAGTATATAACGGTTCAATCCGGCCCGGAAAGGATCAGTAACAGACGTGAATGCACGGCTGGACACAGAAGGATTCTACGGGAGAGATAATAGGAAAGGACGTCGTGGGAAGGAGCCATGAAGTTACTGGTAAGCGGGGAAACTTTATCGCGGCCCATCGAGCAGACCAGTCGAAGGAAAGATTGTTACGAAAGGGGAATCCACGCGCTGCTTCTGATGAGAAAACTTTAATCTGTTAGTCCGTAATACACTCCCGTGTCGTCCGTGAAATATGAATGGTCCTCTATCTCTGACCAATGTCTCCTGGTACATAGACCGCTGCACCGCCCAGTATTCGGAGTCAGCCGTATAATTGAAACGCATGGCCGTGTCCTGTAACTTTGATTAAGACGAGTAATCTATTGATTTCACTTATACCGTCTTCGGGCGACGCGCAACGCGCTGACTGATCGCCGCAATTCATTTGCTGTAACGTTCTTTATCGATCAATAGGAACCACTGATAGACAATTGAGGTTTAGCACTATTTTATGACGATTTCAATGTAATTCTTTCTTTTTCATTATTTTCCTCTTTAGTCGTATAATTTGAGTAGGAGTTAACAAATAATGTTATCCTCATATCATTACTATATCGTGCTAAGGCTGTAAAAAAGATATCATTGAGGCTAGTAAGAAGACGTAAATCTTTATATAGCAGTCCTTGGAGATAGTCGAGAAGAAAAAGTTATCGACGAAGGAAATCTTAAGTTTTTATAACTCTGTGTAACATTCAAGACACATGTACCGATTTATCATTGCATTTTAATGTAACTTCACTTTTAGCTATAATGTGGTAACAGTATTTTGTTTTGTTGTTTCTCTTCAATTGTCAAGAAGATTTTGCACCTTAATTTTCAGATCTTAGTTCGTACAGTACGGTACATTCACTTTTGTTAAAGATCGTAAATTCATTGTTGACTTATGTCTACAAGTTGATATTCAATAGTTTTTAGTTACATCATTTACTTTGTACCCATATAAACAATTTGGGCAATATAGAGTTAAGTTGAATCTCTAATTCTGTATTAAGCAATCAAACATTCTACAATAAATTGTGACAAATTCAATCATAATTCGACTATGATGTGCTAAATGCTATTTATTGAACATTGTATAATTGTTTATTGGATTATGATTATCTTTATTTCGCATTATTTTTATCATGTCATTTCAATCACCGTGAAGTAAAAGATCTGAAGGTCTGCGACTTTCTTCAGCTGTTTTCCCCATTGTTTCCTTGAAAGAAGCAGCAGAGAATCGAATTGGATTCCTCGATTAGGGATTGTTGGGGTTGCCTGTTCGATCAAAAGAGCATCATCAACTTCCTCCTTGAAGGTAATATCCGTGTACTCTGGTAAAATATTTAGCCGAATGCCGTCCACGTGCTTGCACGTTTCCGTGCCAGTGATGATGTGTTCATGCACGACACGTCTGCAGAGAATCTGGTTATGCAAATTGATGCGCGCGATTCGATCCGTGACCACTCGATGAGACGAATGCGTACCGGATACGATTTTCAACTAACCTGATCCTCCGACGGTATTCGTGTCATTGATTGTTGACTAAACAGTGATCAACGGCGCTACAACCGTCAAGCTTCGCGCCATAACCAGTCAGACAGTAGACAGACTTGTATTGCATACCTAATGAATTGATAAAAGGACCAATAAAGAAGGAATTTTCATTTCTTCGATACAGATATAGAACTAGAATCCCCTTCGAAATCTGAGAATCGTTTCCAAATGTTTTAATGCCCTGGTTACTAGCTCGTATATTAATTGTAAATAAGTAGTCATTTTATATTATTTTTATCAAGCGAAATTTTGTAGTAAATGAGCCATTTCTAGAACTGTAATTGTGTTTCTTCGTATTTTGTAATTTGAACGAAGATCGGCAATTTAGTGATATAAGTATGATCATATAAATTGTGTGGGATGATTCTACGAAGCTGAGCATATAACTTAAAATGCATAATGTTAAACAAAAGATTAAAGTCGTGAACTCGATAATTTATTTTTGGTTGCCTACGCAAATGTTACCTTCGCAAAGGTTCGCCGAAGCAGAATGACTGACTCAAAGTATTCGATAATAAAGAAGGACAATTTTTTATTTCCAATTTAAATCGAATCACCAGGAGAGTGTATCTCCATGTTGGTTCAACGCGAGATATTTATGAGTGAAATTACGTGAAAAATATTCGAACAATTGTGTCGCGCTGACCGCGCGACGCCTACCCGCGTACGGCTTGCTCGGATAACGCTTCGCGGCTTGTGACACTCGTCTTAATAAATCACGCCTTATCCGTTTTCAGCTGCAGTTGGTGACATCGATTCTCCTAACATCCGTTTGCGTTGCTGGCTGGCCGTATCGTGAAATAGTAAACATTGAGCAATCGGCATTGCCGGTATTCGTTGCACCAGTTTATGATGTCGCACCTGCAGTGAGCTCGCCCGACTCCGACGAAGAGTTAGCGACCGTTGTGGCTGGACCAATCACTGGGACCACTTTCGTCGAAGGTTCCTCTTCCGGGCCTGTAACCGTCCTGTCACCGCTAAATGCAGCCGATGTTCTGCGCAATAATCCCACTTTGACGAAAAGTAATTATTCTTTCTCTATACGATATTGGCCCCCATTATTTCAATATTGATTCGTCTGTCAGACAGTTTTTCAAGTCTGACAACGGGGCAACCCACTTTAATGCATTTACTGTCCAGGTCTCGTTTCAATTGCTCTACTTCCAATTATTATTTGACGTCAATTTTCAATTTTATGTATTATCATCAGCTAATACGTTTTTCACGGAACTGTAATACGTTTTTAAAATTAGAGATATTTTCACATTATTTTCAATTTATTACAATAATTAAAAGAGAAAAGACATTTTCAGATAAATTATGTTTCTTATTTAGGTAATTTTTATTTTGCATAAGGATTCGAGGTCTATTGATTGCTATTGCCAGAAACAAGTGAACACATTCGGAATTTCTATTTTGTTTTACAAGATAAGTGTATTTGTAACATACACTTGCCGTGGAAAGTACGTTGACAGCTTTTTAAATGGAATAACTTTTTTTTAAACTAGTCCAAATAACTTGAATTTTTTTACATTTTAGAGGGACTAATCTACTATACAATCATTATAATACTTTTTTTTTAATTTTTAATTTCTACTAGTCTCTCCATTATTTAAAAAAAAAATTCAAGTCATTTGGACCAATTTCAGAAACGTTATTTCTTTAGAAATCTGTTAACATACTTCACGTGTTGAGTGCATGTAGAATTTCTTTAATTTATGAGCGTGACAGGTGTAACCGCAGCTCCAGGAACTGAAAAACGCCTGGTTGACTTTAACGTTACCAAAAATAAAGTCGCTAGCCTTGGCACAAACCAGCAAGAATATTTAGATTTACACGTTGGATTACATCGCAGTGAAACGCAATCATTTGAAGACAGCATATGAAAGTATAAATTTCCAATATTTTAATATTTTCTGTTATCAAGAAACGACAAAAAAATTCGATTATCTAAATCAGCGTTTCCAGTTCAGAAAAGACCCAACAGATTCTGATAATACTTTTCCTGGTGCTAGACTTTGTTACGCAAACCGGGGTAGCATTTGCACTGTCTTACTGCCTCGCTCACACTTTATGATCAACATAAACCGAAGAATTTATTAAACACCAAGTATGTCTGAGTTGCGCCTTGAGTCTCCAAGTTGAATAACCTCAGAACACTATCTACTAGCTGGACACACCGAAATAATGTATACATACGTATGTTTCCTAAGATGCCACGGAGGTGGTGGTGCCGAACGTGACCGAAGATTCGGTGTTAATTAAAGGAGCGTCATCGGGTCCGGTGACGCTAATTGCTCCATCCGCCGCAATTGCCGATGATGCAGCGGAAACAAAGGAAGGAATTGTTGCATCGCCAGCATCTGTCGCAATCGAAAACACGGCAGAAGGGGCCGCGAAGGCATCCGCGATGACAATTAGCGAAACAATAGGAGTAGCGTCAGCAAAGGCAGTAATAGGTCCCTCTACCGGGCCCATAATCATTGCTGGCCCAACCGCCCCACCGGTACCAACCACGGCCGCCGTTCCGACAGTTGCGCCGCTTACAGTAGCCGATACCGCAGAACCTGTTGGACCAGCTTCTGCTTCGATCGCCAGCAACTTAGCTGCCACAGAAACTGTGGAGGAACATAACAACGAAACCACTTCGGTCCCAGGTATTATCGTTCCTTTTATTTTCCACTTCCTCTAGCATTGGAACAACCAGGTTTGCCACCGACTGAAATTATCATTGCGTTCCCTGTGCGTCTACGTGTTCACAGCCGACCCTATTTTCAGATGCAACAGAGCCGAGTCGAGCAGAGGTTTCGGCGTCCAACTCGGCGACGCGCAGCTCTGGAAATTCCACAGTTTCCACGTCGGCGAAGGTTAATTTGATTACACCTGCAGCTATAATCGCAGCAGCCGAGACAGCGACAAGTAGCATCGTTGTGTCAGCGGTAACGGTCCCCGCCGCGCACGCTTCCGGCCCCTCCGGGACCATTTCCGAAGCCGCTGCATCCACGCTGCATCCGCTGCCCTAACCATTGCATATCTGTTTACTCGCTCGCTGGTTCTCGGGTGCCGCGCGACAGAAAAATCGCCCGTCGCCGAATCACGGAGCCGTCTCTTTCGAGGCGAACTCTATCGGGAAGCTCCCCACGCTGCCAGCCGCATTTGTTGACATTGCATGCGTTGGCGACCGAGCTGATATGAAACTAGGAAGGGAAAAGTTGTGCAAGGACGACGAGAACCACGCGTAGTCGTTGGCATTGATACCCAGGCGATACTTTCTTACGGACCGCTGCATGCATTAAATGACGGCGATCTCGTTGTTGCTCGCTGTTGATCGATTGTTTCGTTGCGGCATCTGGTCTTTTTTGTTCATTTAATAAAACGACGAGAAACCGTTGTGGTTACTGCGTATGGTTTATCCTCTTATCGCGGTATCAAGATCTTTTATCGGACAATTAGAATACACTCAAGTCTATTAATGCGCTAATCAATGACTGATCTATATATAATGAAAGCTTTCAGACTGCTATTTGGAACAATTTATTGAATTATGGATAACATTGTTATCATTTTTGAACGTTTTTTGAAGAAGTTCGCAACTGTTGATCTTCGATTTTAAAAGAATCTGCACATATAAATATCCTGAATAATATGGTCATTACTTTCGTAAGTTAACAATGTTGTCAAGCTGAAAATGAGACTTGGACTGCATAAAATGAAACAAAAAGTTGTATTGGAAACGGATAACGCTGTGAAACGGTATCTATTACGGAAGAGAAGAATCTCGATACACCATTAAAGTCAATAAACATCAAGTAAAAGAGGATTTTCGGTGGATAAAGGGTCCACGCATCCCGTTGATTGATTTGCAACACCAATGGCTTTGCGCTTTGAGTATTGTTTCAAACGACAACACTGCACTCTAATGAAGTGATATTTATCCCGTTAATCTATATATAGTTAGCACGCAATTCGAGCGATCTAGTGGCTCGTGCAACCTCCACTTTAGGTTAAATCATAGCAAACAAGCCGATACTAATCCATATGATTAAACATGAAACTCAATTATTATCGTGTTACTTTCACTAGGTAAACGGACTGTGTCGAGTTGGCTCGCGATTGAGTTTTGCCGTGCGCGTAGCATCAAATAATTGTTCGTTTCATATTTGAATTTGACCAACTACACAGTACCTAACCAGAAATATGTCCTATGCGGATCCTTATCTCGCTTCAACGTTTTGCAAATTTTGACAGTTTTTATGTATCCAAATACTTTTTTGATCACGAAATTTTTCGTTTTCTTTTTCGTTTCCATTAGGTACATTAATTAGTATTTCGATTAATATTATTTAAAATTATGGTAGCCAAAACTTGTACTTATTATAAAGTCAATATTAAAGTTATGCGAACTGCTATTCGTAGCTTCAGTTCAATTCGAAATTGAAGAAAATATTATTTTATCAGATACGATTTTATTTTGTTACATTTGTATAATTTCTTTGTATGATAGTTTAACCGATGTATAATTGAATAACACTTATTTCGATACCAAATACTAGTAAATAAATAATTATATAATATAGATATAACAAATTGATTCTGAATAATTTAACAATCTACATGCGAGTGTAAAATATTATATTCTAGCAGTATCATGTGCAAGGATAGAACAATCGAGCTTAAGGTTCGTCATCTTATTGTTTAAAAAGTACGCCATTAATTATTTAACAGACCCGCATATTCTGCTTGCGAAATGCTCGGTGGATAATTAACTTCTGTGCCCAATGGCGACAAATTTAGAGGCCTACAACCTTGTTCGAGTAAACGTCGAATACGCAACAATTCCTCTATTAAATTTAGGCCCTCGTTTGGCTGTAAAGGTGGCAGTTGAGGTGGCAGTACAGGTGGCAGTACAGGTGGCAGTACAGGTGGCAGTGGAGGTTGCAGTTGAGGTGGTAGTAGAGATTGCAGTTGAGGTGGCAGTGCATCAATATTCTCAGGGGAAATGAAGCTATCACATTCGGATGGTCTCAGTTGACTCAGGATAAGTCTCAGAAGTTTCGACGCAGAAACTTGCTGAATCGTCTGCAAATGGTTTAAAAGAGAACATTTCAATTAAAACATTACTATTGTATTTCAAATTTCCCCGAATATTTTTTGCTCGAATCCATAATTTAATTATTACACGAATTTTCATTGTTCGATAGAACGCAGAATATTTCAAACTGTGCCCACTAATGAGACGGAAAATAATATTTTCGTTGAAACGTTCCGTTTCGAATTTCCAGTCTGCCCGGATATTTTTTCATCGGAGAATTGTATAACAGGAGGATAATACTATTATTCTCAAGTATAAAAACCCGTAATTAAAAATTCGCCGTCCGGATCGGTACGTTTTCCCGTTCGCGTTCGCAACACGTTAAATACCTCTCGTCTAACGCAGACAAATGCCTCTTTTGACGTGAATTTACGAACGTTTCGCCTCGTTCGTTTCAATTTAATACATTAACGCACCACTCCCGTTCGTCAAAGTTTCATGCCACCGTCTAGTCCCATCGCGCTGATATTTCGTTATTTCGGCACGCGTCTGTAATAATACTCGCGACCATAACCGCGCAGAAATAATCAAAATACCTACATGTAAAGACACAAGGGCCATCAGGCACACGCCGATCACTGTTTTCCTATCCATAACGCAAATAAGTGTCCTGGATTTGCAATTAGGCGAGACTCTCGCTGTCGAATGCCACGAGACATCTTAAACTACCTTATATACCCGAAATATCCGTAAATATTTCCAAATGAAACGAGGAATTCCATCACGCGAATCTCCTTGGTGAGTATCGATAACCGAAGTTTCGAAGTTCCTCGTAAATCGTTGCGTTTCCCATGATTTGGGTTAGCGTAGCAGACCAACTGATATCGGATATTTACGTGCATCGGACGGAAATGCAAAGCTTCGCGACGGCACGAAACGAATTCGCGACAAAGATAAAGTCACGCGCGGTGTTTCATAACATTCGTCTGTTGGTTCGCTTACTTATAATGTCGTCGATGAAAAAATGGTAGTGTTCACGATACTCTTGTATTACCAGCGAAATGTGCCATCGCCGATCATGCACAGTTAACGTTTCATTAACTGGATATTAATTAACATCGTTTGATATAATACGGCCAATAATACCGTGGAATTATTAACACCGTTAATCGGAGCGAAACAAAGGATTCGCTAGCAGAAGTTTAAACGGTACTTCGATTCCAACGGAGAATGGTTAGCAACAACAGCTCGTTTATTTCTTGACGTTCGCATTCAGGCGCGTTGAAATATTCTTCGATCGATCGATTATTAATTTGCATATTCGCGCTGACCGATCGCGAAATCGCGTGCAATGCGACGAAGCTCTTAAAATATAAATGGCTCTTCAATGAATTGTGTTAGTACGATTCCGAGGCAAATCCGATTGCAGGATTCATAGGACGAATTCCTGTGACCTGTAACAGTTTTCAGTTGCGCATGTGATGTTACTCCTAATTCCAAACACGACCAATCGTTTGGCTAGTAATGGCGGCTGTGCTTGTTTAACATGTGCTCCAGCAATAGTAATGTTAATGGTCGATTCTCATTCCATACTCACGGAAACACCAATATGCATACAGTGGTGCGAATAATTATAGACTTAGAGTACCTTTTACATTATTTGTATATTTCGATATTAAAAATAATAGAAAATGGAAATATACAAATATAGCTTTTTCTGATGTTTGTTTAAGTGTCGGTAAAAATGTAGAAGTTACTTTGAGTTCATAATTATTCACAGCACTCTAGGTGACCTCGTTTAGCAGAAACACTCGGTACATTTAAAAAGAAATTACCAAAATATCGTATTTGTATATTCGTTTATTAGAAAAATTGTGAGGTTTATTGAGGTTATAATTATGCACACCAGTGTATATACGGATTTATGAAAGGCTTCTCATTTAATTTCATGTAATTTCTTCTTCTACATTTTAACATGCTATTTTGAGGATTTGAGAAGACTGCGAGCTGGCAGTTTTAAAAGTTGGTGGATGAAATAGTGGACATGAATCTCATTTTTTGACTGAACGGATATTCGTATAAAAATGGGCAACTAATCGACGTTTATCTTAGGGAAGAGGGGTAATAACCTATAGATGAAAATTAATTTTTTTCATCGCCTTCAGTCATTGATTAATTTTGAATTTCTGGAAATTTTGTGCTTCAATCGTAGAAACTACAAAATTTTTTTATAGCTGAAACATTTGCTTTATCATATTATACATTGTATTTTTCAGATACTGCGAGTGACGAATAAAAATGGTTTGCAAATTTTAAGAAATTTTGGTTGACGGAAAGCAAAATTGATAATAATAATTGATATATCAAAATGACAACGTCAGTAATTGTTAGATGACGAAGTCATATATACGCGACAGCAAACAACGAAGTGTTAAAAAGTCATTCCATGATGAAATTGCATGTGTCATAGATGCATACAGATTTATAGTGAAATGAAATGCTGGAAATAGACTATTTTACAAGGTAAGAATCTGCATAACAACGCGAGTTTTATAATTGTAAATGCGACGCGAAGAATAACAGACACGGTGGACTGAATAGTCGTGTCAATTAACTTCTATGTATATGTATAATGCATACGTAGATACAGTTTACGACATGAATAATGCGCTTTATATACATATAGTGCAAAAATTTCCAGGGTGAAAGGCAACGGTCGGAGAAGGAGGAGAAAACGAATAAAAAGGGGAGCCATTTTGTTCGTGGTTGACTAGACGACATGTCAGTTAAGCTACAGTGTTTGCTCCTCGATAATAAAGAGATTTTGGGACATGCTTTGTCTCAACTTCAGAGATTTATTCTTCGGAAAGTTCCTCTCGCAGTAGTCCACCATCAATGGTAACTCTACTGCAGTGGCATTGATATCAGAAAACGTAATTCTTAACTTAATTTTTTCTTATCATTTATATGGGATTGTAAAACAAAATATTTTTATATAGTTTGGAATCTATAAAATATATTCATGAATGAGAATTCAAAAATTTGAAATTTACCTATTTTTAATTACAAAAATCCGATTTTAAACTGACTAAAACTGTAGCAGCGCATAGTGTGATTGATGACAATTCAATAGTCATTTTATGTTTTCTAAAATCATGTTCCTACGAAGAAAAATACTAAATGAGATAAGAATTTATATTTCATGTTTTGAAGTGACTGTTATACTTTTTTGATTTATTAAGTGAACCGAAAAGTAATCAAAATTCTTTTTGTTGGCGAAGAACATTTATTTATTAAAGAAATCCTACATTTTAATCAAGAAAATAATTCCCATCATTTTTTAACACCTTTTGCCAGCGTATAGGCAGTTGTTCGATTCCTTTTTCAAACGTGCCCAAATGTGTCAAAAATGTGGATCGTATAGATACGCATTAACGAAAATGCATACTCATTCTGTATGTGCCACAAATGAATACAGAAGGATACAAGGATGATAAATATAATATCAAAATGGTCACCTCGTTCATTATATAGAAGTCAACTAATTCGAAGCAAAAAACACTGAACAAAATGATCTAGCGCTCTACGTCCAGCTCCTTAAGAACGTTGATCCGAGCAAACCGACACCGGAACAACTGTGAATTAATTCGTCACTAACCATCGACACATTCCATCTTTAGCGATCGCCACTGCTGAGTGACAGAAACGCAGACGCGCCGGATAAGGCAACAATGAATTCCAATAAACGGAGCAATTTTACGGCAACACAGAGAAAAACAGAGGAAGTCGTTGGCCACTGGTAATTCTCGTAATGGCGTAACGCGTTCTGGGTCTGGATGCACTTTGCTCTAATGCACTCAACCTGTGACCACCGACAATGCGCAGCCCAGGGGCTCTCGGAAATAATACACTAGCAATTTTACCGTCGGCTCGGCTACCAATTAATACACGTTTTAATGTTTCCACCCTTCGCCTGTGTAACTTCCTCTCTTAAACGGTTGTAGTTCGCTGTTCGATATACATCGCCAGTATCGGGGCCATTGACAGTTGTTGGGAAACATTTTTTACGCAGAATATAACAGCAAGAACGCATCACTGTTCGCTATTTGGCCAGCAAATGGACGTTGATGGGTGCCAGAATTTACGACCCGAGCTTCATCTGGAAATTCTAGAAAGACGCTTGCTATTGCAACATCGTTTGTTACAGTAGCCTCGCAAGAGAGAAGTGAAGTCGATGAATGAGGAAACAGAATTCCAAACATTTTAAAAAAATCGATTTCTGGATCTTGACATTGTATAAAAGTATGTGGAAATGGTCCTCGAAAATTCCGTATCGATACGAGAAAAATGGACGAAGTTGTAGGTACACAAACTGAAACTTAAAACCCATCTTTCTGAAGACCATGTTTTCAAGTGCGGTGATCACGAGAATTCAAAAATGAATGAATTAATTTGCTTTAAGTTTTATGAACTTCTCCCAAGGATGAAGATTTAAATCTTATCGAATGTTTTTTTATCTCATTCGCTGACTTTTCTTTTCGTTCCGGCTTTTAATCTAAAAATCGATGTTTCAACTTCATAACGCTGTTATTTTTCATCCAGATTATTGACCCACCATACGATAAGGCTACTCAAGTAAGAGTTAAAGCAACATTGTGCTTCGTGCTCATTTATCAACAGAAATGTACAATAAAGTCTAACAATAAATAGCGCAAAGAGCGAAAAATACAATTCAATGAAATTAAAATGTGACTGTCCGTGTTGTCCGAAAGGAAATAATAAATCACGGGGTAGAATATCCCGCTTACCAAAAGCAAGGGAAAGTCTATCAAATTGTGGTTCACTGTTAAACGAGTGATTAAAGCCGATGAAGTACATCAATTTGAAGAAAACGGCAGTCGACAGCGGAATAGAACCGTTTAACACGCGTAAGCAGCCGCACAGATCTGGGTTTCTTTGTCCCGTAACAAGCTCCTGAATGCTAAAATTTCTTTCCCGAAGAGCGCGACTTATTGGCAAGAATTTCGCGCGACACAACAGCCCGACAATGAACGCGGCGGGACCCTTCACCGCAATTAATAGCAGCTCTTTTCACGTACGCGGGGGACCCAGCCATCCTCTCGACCGAGATCGTACGGCTCGTTAGCGAGTTCTTTTTACACGTTATCACGAGACACTATCGACCCAGGTCACGGTCGGGGTACCAGGGAACATTATCTTCATCGGTTACGGGGGATTCGGAATCAAAGGTCGTTACGGTAGATTGCATGGAATGCCGTCGCAGTGTAAAAGATTGGCCGCGACGAGACAGAGAGAACCGAAAACTAACGAACACCGTGGTACGTGACGCGTGTCAAAAGGGACGGTAAGAACGACGACGACGGAGAACCGGCACGTCAACGAGGGGAATTTTTGTTAAAGATACAGAGCACGGAGTCGAGCAAAGATAAAAAAACGTAACTCGTATCAGATGCGATTCTCAATAATCTCTGTAACCCACCTAGTTTCGGTAACCGGTTACTCTGGATGTCCAACAATAACCAGGTAAGTACGGGATACGATCGAAAGGCTCTAATACAAGGATCGTAAACGTAATCACAACCGATTTCGGTTCTTTATAACTATTTCCAAATTCTGAAAATCATGCTAAGACAAATTTTTAGTGCGTAATTTGAACTTATTTATAACTATACCTTGATGCCAATCGGTTGTACACGTGTATCTATCAAGTCGCGTAATATGAAATGTCAGATCATTCGATGGGAAAGGCTAGTTGTTTTTTCCAAATTAAATGAACATTTTATTAACCAAAATAAACTTTCTTAAGGTTTCCATAAAAAAAATCTTCTTCCAAAAAAGTGGCAAAAAATTCTTTCGAATTTGTAATTGAGAAAAAATCCCGATATTTCATACTACACAACCTAATACTAGTCAATTTCAAAGAATATAGTGACAACTTCTTGTTGATGTATAAAAATTTATTCTTCCGGTAATTACGAAGTTGTGCCAGTCTGAAAGAGAAGGAGATTGCCTTGTGTATGGGCCAAAAAATGTTCATGTACGTTTCTTTTACGTCGGTTAGACGGCATGTTAGATTCCGTGATCCCTGTTTAATAGTAATCTGCTCCAAGAGCCCGTTCTTCCTTTCTAGGATTTAAGGACCCTTATGATCAGTGTGGGTGGGATTACAGTAACCTTCCCTCGATAACAGAGTTTGGGTTAGGGTTATGCGTCGGATGCGAAATCCTGGGGTCGAACAACTACGCTTTTCGTTTCGTTCGAGAAACGAGAAGCCGCCTCCATGGTAAGGATGCATCGCGTACGTACGTACGCGAAACAGAGATTCAATGGGTGTTCGTGACTCCGTGCAGCGACAAGCATCGCCTGATAACTACGCGAAGACTTTACGGCTGGACTCCGATAACAGCTGGAGTTCGTGAATAGGATGTCAGCGCAACGGCTCCGCCACGGATTTATCCGGATTTTACAACCTGCTACGGACTGCATACTGCGCGGCGATTGCGTTTCAGCCAGAAGTTGGATTCGCGCATCAGAATGCATGCGGAAGGAACTGTGTGCAGGGTACTAACCCTGCGCAGACTTTCGTTAACACTTGTGCATCGATCGGGTAGAATCGAGCCGATACGCGAAAGTACGTTTAACGTCAAGGTAGTAAATGGAAATCACGTGTCTTTGTTACTGATTTCTCTTGAAAATGCATTACATCCGAAATTTTGAATTTACATAATTTAAATGTGCATTTCGTAGTAAGTGTATCCGTTTTTCTTTTATAACGTAGGGAGTAATCCACAGTCCCATGTGTTTCTTTGGTACGTTTATAGTAAAACTGTGATAACAGCGCAAGTTTCAATCGGTTAATGTTTCGCAAAAAATTACCACTTAAGCTTGAAAAATTCAGAAGAATTATTTTTTTCTTTAAGTTATAGAATATGGTATATCGAAAAAGGTCCAAGTGAATGTAATCATTGTGTGCATCTCAATAATTCTAAAAGATATGATTTGAAGAGTTTCATCATTTATTTTATCCCGTGACGTATCATAACACATTGACTGTATCCCAGAAATGGAACATTTAGTTGTACATATATGTATAAAAAAAAGTGGTCGATATCATTTAAAGTATTTTTGGACCTCATAAAATTCTTTTTCTTTGAAAAAGTACATAATAATAGTCAAATAATAAAGAAACATTTTATGTCAATATTCTATCAAAATATTCCATCTACAATAACTCGTTAAGTATACGTTATAGTTCATTTTGAGAGCGTCCAGAAATTTTGGTATCCTGAATCAATCTGATTTGTGTCCAAAGTTGCATTCACGCCTGAATTAGTAAGTTTCAGTTTAGAAGGATAACAAACTGAAAATGAAATAAATTCTACTTTAAAAAGAATAAAGGTCTTTCCACGTTAACTATACGTCTAGTATACGTTATTTTAGGAAGCCTTTGTTTGCCTTTTACGAACCTACTTTTCGCTTCATCGACCGTAAATTCTTTTCATCCTGTTCCGGTAAAAAGGAAGAAACTTTCAGATTCTTAAGATTTAATCAGACACTTAAACGCAGTGAGATGACTTAATGAACTATATAGTAAAATATGAAATATAGAATATTTAATTAATATATGAGGAAATGTAATTGAGCCACATTTAGAAATGATACTTATTACGAGGATTATATTAGTCGAGCAAATTAGCCCTTTCACCAGCTCAACCAATTTTAGAAAAGTTATTCCGTTTTAAATGGTGTTCACATCCATGTATTTATAAAACCACATTTTAAATATTCCACATGTTTAGCTCGAATATTATGTTTTTAGCTCGAGAGTTCGAAAAGCTCGAGAGCTCGAAAAGCTCAAAAAGCTCGAAAGCTCAAGAATCGTAAGCTCAATGCTCGAAAGCTCAAGAATCATAAGCTCAATGCTCGAAAGCTCGAAAGCTCAAGATTCATGAGCTCAAAGTTCAAAAGCTCGAAG